CTTGATAATGGGCCCTTTTGTTATTTAAATGGGCAGTTTATCAAGTTTTAGTAAATTGAGTGTCTGATCATGTTAGAAGATGGTCTGAGTGCTTAACCAATTTAAAAAGTTGGTAGTATTATTCCCAAGAGTTTTGTTTCAGTCCTTATTTTTAAAAAAAAAAGAAAAGAAATATCATAAACAAAATTCTATTAATTTTTATTAAATTTTGATAGACTCAGTTACATGTTGTCATAGTATACATTTTTAATTCTGATTGTCTATCTATCAGTCCCTCAAGCCTCCTTTTCAACTAACTTTTTCTCTATAGAAATCAATTTTATTTTGATGAGTTTATTAGGAAACAAAAAGAGGATAAAAACCATATTGAAAAAGCTTCATAAATATATAACAGAATAGATAATCAACTTGCATCAACAAGATTTTAAGTTATTTATATGATGTTTTTAATACTATTTAAGTAGCATAAAAGGTAACTTAGGTAATAATGAAAATAGAGGGAAACTATGTTAGGAATATATATCTTGCGAATTATTCATAAAAAATCTTGCCTTTGAAATTATATTATAACTTATTACAATGTTTTTTAAAAAGGCTAAGGGTTAATTATTAATACTTACAGATCATATACCTTGCATCCAATGCAAATTAGGTAGTGGTTCTATTTTCTAACCCTCAATATTAATTTAATACTAAGCTGTTAAGGTGAAAAATCTTTGATACTTTTTGTAAAACAGTATAAAAGAAAGTGATAGTATACCATCTTATAAAACTAGAATTTAAGAAAATTTTATTTTCTATTCCATTTTCAACTTAAGTCCTCAAAGGAGCAGATTAGGATAAAAAATTATATCATAAACTACCTAATTAAATCTAAAGGGTTTTGATATTAACTTACCATATTAATAAAGATATTTTTCATAAACTTAAAATTTCAAAATCAAAATACTCTATGCCTTCTTATTTTCAGATTGGTAGAAAGATTTTTTCTCAAATAAAGATAAGACTTAAATTGTTAAATGCTGATATTTTAGTTAAAAAATGAGGTTAAATAAATTTACTACCGATATTTGACTTTAACCATAGGAACTATTTCCTTATTTAAAATTAAAAAAATTAATATTTCTATCCTGTATTATCTAATTAATTTATTAAAAAGATTGCAAAGAATAAGATTTATCATTAAATATGTCATATATGATGAATCCTTTGTGCATTATTTAATATTTGAATTTGTATAAAGTGCTATCAAAGATATAAAAATTCGAATCCTGCTCTATTTGTTATTGCTTTTTAGATAGCTTAAAAATCAATTCAATAAATTATGTAAGAGAAGCTTTGTAATCTATTTATCTAATAGAATGACATAAACTGTATAAATTATAGGTTATCTCATGATATTATGAAAATAATTAGGAATTAATCAAAAAGGATGAAGATCATAAGATAATGAATTTTCATTTGTTGTTATAGTTTCTAAATTGTGAAGCAATCCAACCCAGTTAATTTAAATAATTTAATTCTTAATTTTAATTAATTAGTAATTGGATTGGATTATCAAAAAAACTAAGAGTTGCAATTATTTCTCGGAATTCTAAAATTTATTTCTTTGTGAAAAATTTAATTTCTTCTGATATGACTAATTATTATACTCTTGGTTAAATTTTATTTCAAATTTATTTTAATTTTAGACTAAGATTCTGCAAGATATTGTAAGAGGCATTTCAATTAAATAGAATTTAAATTCATTTATTTCTATACTAGGGTTAAATAATAAGAATATCAAGAGAAGATATCTCCACTAAATTAATTATGACAAATACATAGTAAGAAATCTTAAAAAGAAAATTTTTTGGCTCTTAGCCATTAAAGTTATTTTTCAATCAATCTAGTTAGAAGAGCTTTTGTAATGGAATTGAGATCTTTATTTTACTAATTCAATAAAATGAAATTGTTAAACAAAATAATTATCAAATTAAAAATAAAATTAATTTTTATAAATTAGTATAAAAATTTTGAGGGAATAAATATATTAATAATTCTACATTTTATACCTTATGTTAACGAGTTTTTGGTTTTAATTTGTTGCTAAAAATATTGATTTCAAAAAGTAAGCCCAACTTTTTGCATTTCAATTATATTTAAAAAATCAATTAGGGTTTTGTTAAATGTGTTAATAAAAGGGATTTCATATAAAATATATTTATATATATATATCTATTTATTTTTCATAATTCATGATATTTCCTAATTTATATTTAATTTGATTTGTCATCCCATGTGATCAAATACTATCCATTTTCACTCATTCCTCCAATTAAGCAATTAGTTCCAAAATGAATAGATTATTCAGTTAAAAACTCTCCATTTTATTTTTTGCTTATCAAATTGACATGTTCACCATTCTTACTCAATAAAATACATTTTGAATTTATGTATTATTAAGGAAATAAACAATTATTATCTGATCCACACTTAATAGTAATATCTCTAGTTTTAGTAAATTATTTATTAATAGTATCCATTTCAAAGACAGATATATATTCTTAATTATATGGTGACAATGTGAATATATCATTATCAATAAAGCATATTCTAAATCCACAATTATCAATATTAATCTTTTGTATTACTTTCCATTCTGTATTCTATCCTTAATATTCTATTATTAATATTAATTTATCATATCCACATGATACTATTCTATTTTATTATTAATTCAAACTTAATCCATATATCTCATCTGAATGATCAGTAATTGTTTATTAACATAACCATTCATTCTTCTTTATCCAAAATTTAATAGTTTTATCATAACTTCCTGATATAATTAAATCTTCATTTATATTTAATACTAAACAAGTGATTCCTTCATTATGTCCATTTAATATCTATAATGAACTCCATAAATTATTTTCATTTTATTTCCATATTCTAATAGTTTTATCTACACTTCCAGATATAAACTATTTCGATTTCTTCATGAAGTTTAAAGTAAATACCCACCCATTATGTTCATTTAAAGTTTAAATTTCTTTGATGATTTCTTATTTGAATTCATATACTTTAATTTTTGAATCACATCCAGCCACCAATGTTGAACAATCATTATCAATTGCTATAGCTAAACACAAATCACTTTATGAAATAGAAGATTATTGAAGTATTTAATAATTGAATGGTTTAATATTTATTGGATGAATAGATTAAATAGTTTATTATTCTTTTATATTTAAATTACTATTTAAACATTCTATTTCATTAGTTTTTTGTTAGATATTGATTAATTATTTTTATTCACTCTGATCAAAATTCTAAGAACCTAATAATAAACAAGATAATAGTTCCTTACATTTATTATATTGTTCAAATTAATTGAATTATTCTAATTAAGGATTAAATTTTGAAGTCCAACAGAGATTGGTTTTCTAAATTTCTTTAGATATTTATAAGTGATCATCAGTTTTGTTTTACTTTATAAACATAATTTCTAATTCTTCATAAAAACTATATTAAGAATATTATGACACTTATTATTTAAGATTTTGAATCCAGTCCATCATAATAGTAATCAATTAGCTTAATTATTGGATTACAAATGATTTCATTTGATCTACAATATCATGCAATGATTCAACTAATTTTAATTAATTAGTTATTATATTTTCTACTTTTTCCATCTTTTTAACTTAATTTTCTTCAATTAATGAAATAATTTTTTTTAATCCAACCATTTTGGCATCTAAATCTGTATCGTCTAAACATTCAGTACATAGGAGTCTCTAATCTCTTGATAATTTTGGATCAAGTGCTACAGTAATGACTGGTAGATCATGTCCTTTTGAGCATCGAAAATCTTTTTGAATTTCTATCATTTTTGGTTTAAACATTTAATTTAATAATGAAATTTTTGGAAAATTAATTCACTTTTATAATGCATAAATTTAATAGTTTATACAAAAAGATGTATTCCATAATTTAATATGCTTTAGACAAATCTTCTTTTTATTTCTTAAACAAAACATATTTTTCATTTAGAAAAAATATTCTACAAATATATAAGTAATTTAAAAAGGGTTGGCTCTGTGCAATTAATTCTTTATACCTAACAAAATCTATGCCTGCAATATTTGCTCTTAAAGTAAAGTAACTTAAAATTTTAATGCTCCTGAACTTTTTATTATATCATGCATAATTTGACTAATAGTATTTTTTAGATAACTAAATGCATCAACTTTTCAACTCCTAAGTCGAATAATAATATTTGGCATCTTTTACCTTTTAAAATTTCCACTTTAATAGGATAGCTAATCTGAATATCAGGCAAGTGAGTATCATATCAACTATAAATATTAGTATTTTTAAACAATTTTCTTATAAATCCCCTTCATCATGTATTTATATACTAATATAATATTTTCACGTATTCACTACAACTCAATATTCAACTATACAATATTTATATTCACATTTAGAAAGAAGGCTGCATATCTTCTTAACCCTTTTAGCAAATACACAGAATTTTAATTTTTAATCATTGCATTTTTTCTTCATGCTTTCTATAATTGGTTAGAGTTTCGGCACAAACTTTCCATAAATTCTGCTCTACAATGAGTATAAGATTCTAGGTAATTATGATATCCTTATCAAAGTGATTGTTTAATGAATATTTTAATAAAATATATATACTCAATATTAAAGATTTTATTATTCGGTCTATTTAGGAAGGTAATGAGATGATATAGTCTAAATCTTGCGATGTATAGAATGGGAAAAAGATGTATAAAGAAAAATTAAAAAATGGAATGATGTTGTAAAAAGAAATTCATAAATCCTTAAACACCCTTGTTTACTTTTAAATATGGAATCAAAGTATAAATATTTTAACTAACAACTTCTTAATGTAAGAATACTCTGGTATTAAATAGTTTTGGATTATATCAATATATGATATAAATTTTGAGGAACACAAAAGGGAATTTTGCCATAATGTCATGGTATCAAAAATAGAAGTCTTTATCTCTCCAAAAGAATTAGATGTCCATATTTTTAAATTTCATTGAAGGTTTCTGAGACCAAAGCAATTTACCTATAGTTAATATTAATATATAAAGTAACTCAAATAGACTAATATATAAAATAGACTTTCTAATCATCTTTATTACCATAATTATTTTCCTTAATGGGATGATCTTCAGACACAGTTTGATGATTGAATAAATGTATATAATCTAAATTGATGAGTTTAATATATNTCAAATTCCCTATCCAATCTTTGAGTATCTAGAAAGTGTAAATAAATATTAGTATTTTTAAACAATTTTCTTATAAATCCCCTTCATCATGTATTTATATACTAATATAATATTTTCACGTATTCACTACAACTCAATATTCAACTATACAATATTTATATTCACATTTAGAAAGAAGGCTGCATATCTTCTTAACCCTTTTAGCAAATACACAGAATTTTAATTTTTAATCATTGCATTTTTTCTTCATGCTTTCTATAATTGGTTAGAGTTTCGGCACAAACTTTCCATAAATTCTGCTCTACAATGAGTATAAGATTCTAGGTAATTATGATATCCTTATCAAAGTGATTGTTTAATGAATATTTTAATAAAATATATATACTCAATATTAAAGATTTTATTATTCGGTCTATTTAGGAAGGTAATGAGATGATATAGTCTAAATCTTGCGATGTATAGAATGGGAAAAAGATGTATAAAGAAAAATTAAAAAATGGAATGATGTTGTAAAAAGAAATTCATAAATCCTTAAACACCCTTGTTTACTTTTAAATATGGAATCAAAGTATAAATATTTTAACTAACAACTTCTTAATGTAAGAATACTCTGGTATTAAATAGTTTTGGATTATATCAATATATGATATAAATTTTGAGGAACACAAAAGGGAATTTTGCCATAATGTCATGGTATCAAAAATAGAAGTCTTTATCTCTCCAAAAGAATTAGATGTCCATATTTTTAAATTTCATTGAAGGTTTCTGAGACCAAAGCAATTTACCTATAGTTAATATTAATATATAAAGTAACTCAAATAGACTAATATATAAAATAGACTTTCTAATCATCTTTATTACCATAATTATTTTCCTTAATGGGATGATCTTCAGACACAGTTTGATGATTGAATAAATGTATATAATCTAAATTGATGAGTTTAATATATCCAGGGGAGAGAAGTTAGTCTTTTAAATTCATTTGTATTATTTTTATGATATAATATTTTCTGGTTTAATATCTAGATTTAAAATGTGTTATCAAAATTTTCTATATTCTCAATAAGACTTAATCAATAGCCAATCTACAGGATAAAGATAACAGTTAAGATTTCACTAAATTCTATAAGCTTTAATTTAGTAGTGGCATATTAAAAAGTACTTAAATTAATGGTATTCTTAATTCTTATTCTCTTTCATTCTATGGTGCATAAATGTTGGAGTGTTTTTAACTCCATTTTTTCTATAAGGACTTTAATCTTTCCCTCTAATAAGCTGACTTAGGAAATTTTTTTTTATTTTTCATCGTAAATAGGCTTTATGATATTTGTTCTCATCTTTAAACAATTAATATCCAAACCCTTTTCCAATCAATGAGAATAACCTGATATGCAGTGGTAGATAAATACTTTAGAGAATATTTTTTAATAAAATTATTAAAGATTAAAATGTATTGGCTATAATTTTTGAAAATAATAATTATCTCAAACCTGTTATGGATGTCTTGAATTTAAATATGTAAAGGATGGTACATTAATTATAAGAAGGTTTAAATACTAGTCCTATTTTTGTGACTATTTTCATCATGAGATTAGAAATTAACAATATAGCTCTAATTGCAATAAGAAAAATGTGGATAGACATTAATATCAAAATTGAATTAAGATTGGATGCAATCTTATATTAAATAATTGAATTAACTTCATTTCATTTTAAGTAAGATAAAGACCATAAAACTTAATTGGATATTTTGCCTCAAATTTATAAATGAGATTAAAAATCAAATTTAATAGGTAAATTTTAATCGTAATTAAGAAGTTGAAGCATAGATCACCTTATCCAAAGAAAAATTTATTTAATGTGAATTCAAGAAATTGTTAATAAACTTTATTAATAATAATATATCTGATAAATCATTATGTTTAATTGTAATATATTTTTTATGAGAAATTTTTATTACAATAAAGAAGGAATAATATTTTCTTATTTTTTACTCGTTAGACTTTTAAATTTTTATTAAAAAATTACTCCTTTTATTCTCGTATTGATTAATCTATGATAACCAAACTTTTATAAAGAATATTTTTTCCCTAATTTGTAAATATGATGTGAGAAAAATTGTACAACATTTCGAAATCAATTAATGAAGCTTTAAAATTTAGATTAAAACTAAAACATGTTTTATTCTGTTACTACTTTTCTAAAATATATTGGTTATATCAAAATTTAGGCAAGCATATCTTAATTAAATATTGAAAATTACATTTAATAGCTAAAATAATTTTATTTAATATCAAAAAAAATAAAATAAGAGAATTCAGATGAATATGAACAATCCTTATTGTAATGATAATTACAATTTAATCAAAATTAATTAAAGTGAATATGCTTTTATGAATGTAACATGTTACCTTATATATTTAATCTTTCCATTTTCTTTTCCTATTTAATTCTATACTTAAAATTTTTTTGTATGTTTATTTTCCTTTAAAATCATTATTTTCAAATTTGCTTAACTTCAAAAATTTAAATATTTATTCATCCAGTACTAATTCTTTATTGAATTTGAAAAAGTAAATTATCTTTAGACGTGCATTATCATAAAAACTGCTATCATTTATACATAAAAAATTGTTACACATTATCATCAGCGTTATAATAACTCTTTTAATTTCCTGCAAGCTTCTACCTGAAAAAATTACAAAATAATCCAGTTTTTTTGGGCTTTTTCTGACAATAATGGATTATTTTTGAGAGAAACCCCAGGCTGGAGGAACCTCGAATCTTTAAACACCGTATAAAGGAGTATGAGTTCTTTCTCGGTTCTCTCATCAAATTGAATTTAGTGTATGTTGTCTTTTCTCCAAAAATTTATAGAAGGATTGATTATTAATCGTCCTGCAATAGAATTGAGTAAGTGATTAACAGATATTCAAGTAAATGTGAATGAAGACCTTTTAATTGATTATGGATCAATTTTCAAAAATAAAAAAAATCTAATTATTTTTTAAATATAAAATGGTTTAAAGAGCATATATATGAGAGGGGTACCTCTTTTAAAAAGAAAATCAATGACTGCTAAAATTTTGATAGCAATTTAATTTGAGATGTTATATAAATTAGTTTATTTTAGCAATTTGATATCTAAAATTACACTCTTGATAAATAGAGAACTATTGGAATGAATAAATTGCAGAATGAATTTGGTAATTATAAAAAAATTTAAAGATATAACTTAAAGTGTAGTCCTTTTTAATTCAAAACTAATATTGAATTTATGCAATTAGAAATTAGTAAAGTCTAAATTTACCTGCTCCAGTGAATCAATTGAATAATCTGTTATGTTATGCATTTTAGGAATAAAAAAAAACAATATTTCCAAGTCTATCTAAAACCGGCCTTTAAACGGTAAATCAAGAGATGCTCCCTTAAGAGACTTAAGTGGTTATAGAGAATATCAGGATTAAAAGGCCTGGACGATGGACCATTATAGCTTCCTCATTTGTAAATATCAATCCCAAAGTATCTTAGTTCTTTTAACCACTGTTCAAGGGAATGGAGCATGCTCACACTCTAAGGGCCCATTCTGACTCCAAACCTATACTGTGAGTTCTCTTATTCTTCAGCCCCTTTATAAACGTTCAATTAGATCCTCCCTCTCAAAGACACCCTCTATATCTGGATGTAATATGGGGTAGCATTTCCGGTTCCTTCCTACCCTAAATATCTAGGCAATACCTAATAAAGCTCCCTCTATAAGGCTAAGGTTCAAAAGTGAAGTACCAGTTCAAATTCAAATTATTAAAAAAATTTATAGAATTTAATTAAATTATAAACACTTTAAAATTAAAAAAACAAGGATTATTTATTTTTCAAATTACATTATAAAAATAAAATTAGGATATTTTTTAAAGTTTTATAAAATTTTTCTTTAAAGAAAATGCTTTGCTAAAAATTAATGAATATAATCAACTCAGATGAATTATTTAGTTTGTATTTTAAATAATTAATTTTTCTATAAAATTATTATGTTAATTTATTTGATTATTGTCAAAAACATTCTTTTTCAAGAATCTACAACTTACAGGGCCTTAATTCAGAGAACTACAGAATTTTTCAGGAAGTTCCTAAATATCCTACGACTAATTAAAATTTTTCTAACAATTTCTAATGACTTTCTAATCAATTCAAATTTTAGCAATTATATCCAAAATCACACTTTAAATCACAGGAAAAAAAACATTTGCAAATTTTTAATATCGAAATATAATAGAAATGTTGAATTAGTGGTTTTGAATTGCAAAATTGTCCCTTTTTTTACAAATCAATAATTTTGTTTTTTTTTACTAGGAGACTATGAATGTTATAATATAAAATAATTTTACAATTATATTCATATCATTCAATTTTTTCTACAAAGGATGCATTTAATTATATTTTCTCCCATAATTCATAATTGACGAAAATATATTTGATAATGATTAATAATGATTTATATATAAAACTACCTGCTTATTTGAAGGGTAATTTTATTTTAATTTTCTCTAGCTTTGTTTAAACTGTTTACTTATGCATTTAGGTGACATTTTGGAGAAAAATAAAATATCTTTTCTCTATTTAACTCAATCTTGGATATTACTAGGACATCTATAAAACACATAAATCTTGTGTTATTTAAATAAATAAACTAATTTCATAACCATAATTATTAGAATATCAAATTTATTAATATTATAATGATGAAAATCATTACTCAAAAGAAGAGAATTCTATGTTAAACATTCAAGTTTATAGAATGAATATCAGTAATAAGAAAAAATCTAATTAATTAATATGTGATAATTATAAAGGATCTTTTAAATCACCATTTTTGGATAAGTTTTATGGTAGATAGTACTCAAGGTGAAAATATATTATATACTCTAAATTTTAATTATTATGATAATTCTGAAAATTGTTTATGGATGCTCTCTTTGAAAGACTATGCTTTTGGAATAGTACTAAAAGTGAACGCTATAAAATCTTTTGATATTCTGATGAAAGCTTCATTTTAGGGTTAGGTTGCTTCTGGTAAAAAACAATATTTCTCTCCAAATTCAATAGCAAAGATTATCCTCAGTATAAATTTACTCTATCACAATTTCTACTAAATATGGAGCAGAAAAAGAAAATAATTAGTTTTCATCAACTCCATGATGATATTCAATTTACTTGTCATCTTCATACAGATTTAATTAATGTAGTGTAATTTTAAATTATAATTATCATTGCATTTAAGTTTTTCAAATCTGAAATGCATAGGTTTGTCTTCTAAGATTGCTAGCCTGAAATTAATTTTGGAATATAAAAAATAGAAAAAATATACCTTTGAATTGATGTTTATTATATATGTGTGCTCAAATACAGGTAGCTCAGATTCTTATATCATATTAATCATGAGTACATTAAATAATCGCTTAGATAATAGGTATAATGATATAGAAAAGGCTTTCATAATGATCTACATTTTCATCTTTGAAAACAAAATAATCCTTTTCTTATTTTCTCAAAAAATAGAAAGAATTAATAGAAATCCATAGTAGATATTAAAAAATCATAAATTTCTGGAATAAGAGATTGCAGTTTCAATATTATAATAACTGCAATACTAAAAATCTTATAAGATCATTTCATCCTTAATTTGTGATCTGAAACTTTCAGCTATTAAAATATTTAGAATTCGACTGTTATTAGACATCATAATTTAATTATATATAAGTTGAATAATTGAAATTACTTTTTAAATGATTTAGTGCCATATTGAATATCAAAATATAAATCTTAAAATAAGATTTATATATAGTAATTGAAATTATATCATAATATCAACCATACATATTTGAAAATTAAAAAATAGATTTTTAAAAAAGGCAATAATACAAGTAGCAATATCTAAGCTCAAGTCAAATATAATTATAAATATAATCATTAATATTGCTAATCTTTTCTAATCTTTTGATGTGATAATCTAATAGATTTCATGCAATTTAAATTTGAAAGTACTCTAATTGTAATAGGCTAAAAGATCTTTATTTATTCAAATTTAAATAAAAAGCATTATTTACATTTTTAGGTTTTTAATGTATTGAGTTGTTTTTGTCTAAAATTTTTTATACATAAAGTTATTATTATGATAAAAAAAAATAATTCTTTACATCTATCATTTATTATTTCTATTAAGATGATAAACATATGATGGCCTCTACCTGCAAATTAGCTGTCATAATATTTCAAAATTAATTTCTCTGATATTAAATTATTCTAAAATATAATATGATACTTCACTATTATTTTTGTGGAATGTGACAATTAGCAATATGGAATTCATCCTAAGAATAATTGAAATCAAAATGTTAGAAGAAAAATATTGAATTGCATATTATTATTTTTCCTTTAAAATACAATAAAATATGTCATACATAGATAAGCATACAAACTATAAATTTGATTTATATGTATCAACATGAATAAATATAATGCAAATTGTAAATATTAATGAAGAAATAATAATTAATAAATTTTAAACTTGATTACTCCTCTAATTCTATTTGAAATTATGATGCGGTTTCTGAAATTTCAAAAAAAGACCTTCTTTTATATTGTTCAATATAAATACAATATTTATATTTTCAGAATAATTTTATTCAAATGAATAATCATTAAGTAGGTATTATTTTTTAAGATGTAATTATTTTCGACATTGTATTTGCACGGCTTTCCAAAACATTAAGTGCTTAATAATAATAATATGATAAATAATAATCCACTGGAGTTTGAATTATAAAGGTTCTAGGTCACCGAATTTGATTAGAGTTGAAGTATTGAATTTTTATGGGGTCCAGAATTTTCCTTGAAATATTTAGAATCCTCGGGTGTCCAAACCTTGCAGACATTGTCATCATGGCACCACAGCTCCTTGAGTTCAAGTCAACCTAGTCTATCCAAAAACTATAAGGCCCAAAACTTAGGATCCTTTTAATCCCTATTTCCACAGCCTCCTATGTTGTGCAGAGAATTCGAAATTCCATCCCAATGACTTTCTGTTCATATCCAATCAGCAGACTGAAGTGCTATACCTATTAGGATTGAGGAAGAAATTAATTTTACCTCTATTTATCATGTAATTCTTATTTGCTTATGGATTCTCAACTTAATATGGAAGAAAATAATTTAAGAAAATTTTTTACAAGAAATGCCATTTGATCAAGTGACCTGTGCAAGAGACTTTGCTGGAAATTCTATCATCAGATCCTCCAAGAATTAGAAGACAAGGAAGTGCATAATAAAGTTGGCCTCAGATGAGTATTAGTATGCTTTTACTCGTTCGAGGGGGAACAAAACTACACTCATAATTGATTGAAGTAATGGAATCATGAAATAACATAAGGATATAAGTATCATCCAATATCGAGAGAATGGCATTCTAACTGATAGCAAAAGTAGTTTATTTTTTTGGATCACTCAAATTATTTTCTTTAATGCAAAAGTTGGTTGGATCAGGGGTTTAAACTTAATTTTAGGTTTAACATAGAGGTAATAAAAATGATGAATATAAGTCAAGACTAATGTGCTTTTCTTTGTGTCCAATCCTACTCTGTCCCTCTATCATTATTGGGGCCAAAAAGCCAGACTTTTAAACTATCTAATTATCAAACAAGTTTTTTCTCATCACTGATGATGATAAATTTCTTCTCTATTATTATTTATTTTACTGATTTTTGGTGGAGGATTTTCATTTTAAATATAATATAATCTGTAACATAATCAAAAATTTCAATTCTATTATTGATATATTTCAAATTTTAATCAACTAATCTTTATGAGTAAAAGGTTATGAATAAAATAAAAGGAATGTTAGTACAAAACTATTTAGAAAATTAAAAAAGTATACAATTATTATTCATAAGTTTTCAAAAATGTTTTGGATAAACTAGATAAAAACCCAATATGGTAGAAAAAAATTATAACAGCTTCTAGACATACTAAATATTTCAAATATTGATTTCACTATCATTTACAATATATCAATAAGAGTGAGTTAAATTACTTTCCACATCTGGAACGTAAACAGAAATTATTACAATAGAGAACTTGTCAGCTTATAAATAAAATTTGTATTTAAGTTTAAATTAATAATATTCTTGAGAAAATTAATAGAATTATCAATCCCTATTAATTCAACTATTTTAGGTAAAAGAAAGAATTAATATGGAAAAATTCATTGAAACTATTAGAGCAGACTTGGAATTGTAAAATTATTATTAAATTAGTCCCCTTATAATTATATATTTAGGTTTAGAAGGATATGCTTTTTTTATAAAAATTTGCTTACTAAATCATTAACTAATGAAATCTAAATTAATAAAATAACCATTAAGCCAGACTGAATGAATTGAAAAATTTCTTATATTTTAAGAATATAAACAGAAAGAAAATTATTTAAATCACTAATTATTCTATTTAAAGTTCTGCTTGAAGCTTTTTTTTCATGAAAATTCTTTTAAAGATTAAAATAAGTTTTAGAAGTAATCATTCAGATAATCAAAATATAAATAGTAATGAATTTTGGTTAAAATATTTTGTAAATTAATTCACTAGTTATAATATTGATTTAAGTAGTCTTTTCTTGAGAGAGTTAACAAGCTTATATAAACTGATTTTTGGGATAAAAAAGTAGGTAAAGAGCGAATTTTTAATAGTGAATATTTACAACTCTTAGATCAGAGGCTAATAAAATTTAGAAAAGTGTATTTAATTTTCTCTCTAATATAATTTGCTTATTAAAATCATGCTGATTTCACTATTTCAAGAGGCTTCAGTTTAGTAATCATTTCATAATTTTCATCTTCCTCAACTTCTGATTATAAGAAGATATAAAATCATAAGCATTAGATAGAAGAAGTTTTTATTTTTAATATAATAAGTTAAATGCATTTAATATTTTCTTCAAATTGTAAGCAATAGAATTAATCAAACAAACTACCTTTATTATAATACATATGAGAAGAACGGATGAATTGACTTTTATAAAATCAAAGTAAATTTTGATAATAGTTCGTATTTCAAAATTTAGATTTTATTAGCAACTAAAATAAATTGAACTAAATATTCTCGAAATAGACAATTAAAATCAAAAAATGTTTACTTTAATATTGCTCTCATAAATTATTGGCTTGATAATTAAGTTTACTCATCATTCACAAATGCATTTTAGATTTTCCTTTATGAAATATTTGCATAAAATTGTAAAGACTCCAGTTTCATAATTTCCACTATAGCTTTATTAAGATCGATAAGATAGAAAAAGGTTAGTATACTCTATTTAGTCAAATGTAAACTTTTTCTAAAAATGAACCACTTTTAACTTTATCACAAGAATGATAGTTATAATTTTATTGATTTTACAAAGAAACTATTTTATCAATATGCTAGAATAAGTAAATTAATCAAATTTTATACATAAGGAAATTAATTATCATAGATTAATAAAGATTTTGATAATATATTTATTAAATAACAATATATTTTAATAGAAATAGGAATTATAAAAATATCTTATTTTATTAATTATATAAATGTCATCTGATCTAGATAAGAAATTGTGTTAAAAGCATAAATTAGAAATTTTAACTATAGATTTAAAATAATCAACTGCTGAAGAAGACAAATACCTCTGCATCAAGTGCCTAATGGAAAAAATTGACATTTAAAACATGGCTTTGGTGGAAGAGACAAAAACAATGATTAAGTAAATGAAAAGTGAGTAATTGAATAACAAAATTAAGGAGTATTAAGGTAGGATTGAAAACTTTAGATAAATACAATCATAAGTTAAAGAATTTAAGTTATTAATTAACAACACTATAGATAAAGTTTAAAGTAACATAGATTAGAAAATCACTCTAATGGAAAATGAACTTGATGAATCTGAATCAGTTTCTACTTTTGAAGAAGATGTCAAAATATTATCAAAGAATTATAAAGGATCATTCAGCTTTGAAGTTCCTAAAGAATTGGAGAAGCTTCTTGATGAAAATTCTTATATTGATTCTATTTAATAATAGTTACAGTCGATAATTAATTGCCCAAAATTGACATAAATAAAAGAAGCTTTAGAAAAGGCTAAAGTTGAAAATGAAAATTCAGAAATTAAGTAAGTCTAATTACTTTCTAAAAAGGAAGAAGATCCATTAGTAATTATTTTTAATATTAAAAATAGAAAACACCAAGTTTGAAGATTTAATGTAATAAACATGGAAAAGAAATTATCATGTTTAATTTGAATCCTGAAAAAACTCAGTTTTCTAGATTAGCATGTGTTGAGTGTATATAATCAAATGATCCTATCAAGTACACAACTTTAGAAGATGCTAGTTTTAGATGGAATGAATATTTAGGATAAACTAGCGACTAGGTTAAACGATTTCAAAATTAAAGATGTTTAAAATCATCATAAATCATTGAGATCCTCCAAGAAATTTAAGAAAAGTACAATAGCAGTATTTCAGAAATAATCAATAAGGTAAACACTTAATACTAAATGTTCTCTTAAAATGAAACTAATGAATTTAATGAAAATATGATTTTCTAAATGAGTACTGAGTAGGTTAACGACTTAACTGAAATATTAAGTTAAAATGACAAATTCTAAGTGTTGGCTGAAAAGTAATTAAATATTCAAAAAGAAGACCTTAATTAGCTGGAAATCATATCAAATAATTTTGGAAAATTGCTATCAAATGATTTACTTGCAACTGAAAAGATTCATAAGATCTTCAAGGAATCAAGTTCCAATTTTTATTATGTAAAGGAGTGGAAAAATGATATTGTACAAGAAGATAATCCAATTTCAAATCATTTATAGATGAAACAACTTAACTTATAATTACAACATTTTAAATTATATTAGGACATCTTAAATGAGGCCTTAAATTAGTATAATTTAATCATACAAACAATAAGTAGTTTGTCTAATGAATTCAAAGATATTTAATTATAGCAAGTACCACTTTATTAATATTAATAAGTTTAAAGAATATGTATCGAAGTTTGAAAAAGATTTATCTCTTATGCAAAAATTCACTTAATTTGATTAAATTGAAGCTGAGTTGAAATTGCTTAAACAAGAAAAGGAATCACTGAAAAATCAACTCACAGAAAGTGAAAAGATTAATTTAGGAAATCAATAAGTTATTAATGACTTTAAGAAAAATGATGCAGAATAAATTAAGCTAATATAAGATTTGAGGAAACAAAATGAAGGCTAATCAATTAAAATAAAAGAACTTGAATAATAAAGTAAAAATTAAATTGATTTCAATTTCTTATAGAAACTTAATGTGAAGTTATTGTTAAGGAGAAGCAAGCAGAATTGTAGAGTTGCTAATAATAAAATCAAAAGAATGAGGAAATGTTGAAATAATTATAATAAACTTTGGTATAAGTAAAGGCTTTATTTGAAGTAGGAATGGTAATTCTCTCAATAACTAACATTCTCAACAACTTATAAGAATAGTAATTGTTCAGTTACTTAAAATGGAAAAGTTATTGAGACAAGTTATGGTGGTTGGTCATGTTGCATGTGTGATTAAATGATCCCGAAGAATGGTCTGATCTAATTTGCTATTAAAATTATTGAAATTTCTAGCATTATGATAGGAATTGGTTTTAGGGATATTGTGTAGAGTAGGAATTATAGTAGTTGTTATGAGATTGGATAAGGGTATATTTATGATATTAATAGAATCAAAATAGAACATATAATATTTATTATAATGGTGAATGTTTTAATCATGATTAATAAGATAAACATAGAAAATCAATAGCATTTCCATTTTCAACAAATGATATTATAATAGTTGAAGTGGATATTCAAAAGAAGTATGTGAAATGGACAAAGTAATCCACAAATCAATCATTTGTATCATTTCTATTTATTATTAGACTCTCAATATTGATACATCCAAAGATTTGTATCCATGTGTACATTTACATAGTAGATGTAAAGTAGAGATATTAAATTAAGTGTTTAAATGAAAAATTAATATTTTTTAAATTTATTTATATTTTTATTTATGATGCAAGACGATAAATTATATTAAAATTGGGGTATCAATGATTATTGCAAGAATCTTCATGCAAACTTAATTGCATATTACTTAGCAATATATGGAGTCAACCTATTGACTTTCAAACCCTTCCTGAATGCCCTCTAGTTGATTAGAAAGAGGAAGAAGTTATTAAGACCTTTCAAACCTCATAGATTACTAAATCTTCTAATCTTATTATTAGCTCCCATAAAAAGATGGCTGCCTTTTGTTCTCTACTTGAGATGAGTTATCTTAGATGAACTTTTCCTTAGAGATTGGATCTTGAATTTGGATACCCAAAATTCATTCCTCATAGGCTAATTCCACTGCCATAGACCTAGAAGTGCCTTAATTTGAGGATTCTTGTTTAGATGTTTTTAAGCTCTGTCTAAATGAAGGTATTTTGGCTTAATGATGTGGAAGTTTCTAGAATGATTTAGATTAAAGAAAATTCTTAATTATTAAAAAAGATACAGATGATTTATTTGAAAGAATTGCTAAGGAAGAAAAGATATAGATATAGATCCATCACTCTGTATTCCTGATAAGCTCCCATCTGTACATGGTCCTCTTATCAATCATAAGAGTAGTTTTTTTATCAACATGTGGATAATTTTAGAAGATCAAGGTTTCTTTCATGTGATATAACTGGATTACTTATCCGCCAGATCTCTTGCTTATTTTTAGATGAATAATTTAGAATGTTAATAGACTGATTACACTTAATTCTTATTGAATAAGAGAAATTGGGAAATTGCTAATTTAAGTAAACTTAGTTTCAAAAGAATTAATCCTTTCAATTGGTTGGAAGAAAGACCAGATGTGATTGAGAATCCTAAGAAAAGCATATTTGAGTCTAGGGACTGGGATCAAATGGCACTAGTTAGTTTAAGTAATTTTTAAATTAACTCGCCTATCAGTGATAAGCATAATTAAAGGTTATCTTCAACTGGATAATAAAATATCTTTTAGATACTTTAAGAGAAATGTTTTATTATCTAACCTAATCCACTTGATTAAGGTTAATAGAAGTATTAGTCTTGCTAATATTCCTCGCGAAAATTGAGAATAGACAAAGTTGGTGAATATTGCTCTGTTATTAATGATATACTGATTTATGATACTGATATATTGAGGATAACTGTATACGAGGATGAAGGTAAAAATTAACTAACTTTTTCTACCGTGATTTATTCCTGAATAAGGATGTTGTTGTGAAATCAAAACTCTCTAAGTGGTTAAGGAGTCAAATTGACTAAATTCCCTTGATGTGTTGAACCTAGGCGCAAATGCCTTAATTCTAATAGATGGAGTAATCTCCTCCTATTAATGAATAACTTAAAGCTCTTCCAAAGTTGAGAAAGAAAATTAAGAGTTCCAGGAAAATAAAAATCTTCCAAATAAGATGAATGAGTATTATATAAATAAATAAATATTTTCTAAATTTATTCATATTTATTTCAATATAAAAATTATTATTATTAATGATTCAATGTTACAAAAAGCGTTTTAAATAGAAAAATACCTCTACTTATGAATTTAATTAATTCAAATAATTATTATTTAATAGCTAGAAAGTGGAAGTGCATTTACTTTTTGTTAAAATTTATGCCCATAAAACAATTATCACATTCAATATCTTTTGTTTATTCTTTTCTTTAATTAGTATTAAATAGCAAAGAATTTTTAAGAAAACCTTTCATTATTAATTATTCAATTTGGACAGAATGTTATGAAAATAATTATATAAATATTAAACAATATATTCAAAATGTCAAGTATCATAATCGTCTTTAATTAAATAATGAAGAAAACCATTCTGATCATTATAAAAGCCGTTAAATATCTAGTTTAGACTAGGAGCATAAATTAATTAACATTAAATTAATTTTTCATATTTTTCATTAATAAGTAAACCTTTGCAGCAAAATTCTTATAAAGAATTTCAATAAAAAATGGCCATTATCTTTTTTGACTATTATATTGATGAAACTATCATATTTCCAATAACTTTGGTTAATATACTACATATTATCCCAAAAATTTTTCTTTAGATGAGCACAAAATGAAAAACAATCTTTAAATCTTTTAAAAGAACTTTACTTTTAATTAGACTTACAAGAATTTTCTACCTTTTTATTCTATTTTGCTCTGAATTTAGTTTCGATTAGAATAATCGAAATATATCATGACTAAATAAACTTACTTCAAACACAACAAGTCTAGTAAAAAAAGGATTTTTTAAAATGAAATCATGAAAGTAATGCAATACAATATCACAATATCGTCACATTTATACGTTATATCCATTAAAAATAAAATTATTTTTATATCATTTTCAAAATAATTAGTTATAAAAAAATTTGAAACATGAGTAAATTATTAAGGTAAATTTAAGATATTGAGATGTTGTTAATGCCTTTAACCAATAATAGTGACAGAGTATTCAATTATTGTTTTATATGCTTCTCTTAATGATTATCAATTGGAATATAAATAATTACGTTTTAATCCTCATAATAAATGTAATAAATAATAGTTATGAATATATTAAATATTTAGAAGGATTAATAAGTACCAATTAATAGAATATATTTACTTAAAAATTTCTTAGGGTTTATTTGCTGCACTGTTCATTAAGATATTTTTGAATAAAAGAATATCCTTCCTAATTAACAACTTTGAATTTTTCTTTAACAACTATTATTTCTTAGAGAAATTTACAGAAAATTGCCGATTTAATATGAGACCAAAAGAACAGTGGATTTTAAACTGAACATGAGCAATTATCATATACTATCTTTTTTTGATAATATAGCTTATTTCAGCATATTCCATGCCTGTAAACAGATTTCGATTGGTTTACACAATTAAAAGGAGTTTTCCATAATTAATATTGAAAACTTTTTTCACTATAATACTTTGCTATATAGTGTGTGTTCACCCTCTGTTGTGAGAAAATTACATTCTGTTAGTGAGTTTGCAGAGATATTTAATAAATTTTTAAAGGGAGTCTTAAGAGTCTAATTTATAGCGTAAGTTATGTTTTTGGAGGGTCTAACTAATTAAATAGCTTGGAAATGATAATAATAAGTTCAACAATGAAATTTGCTAGATTTTAATGGATTTTAAATTGATAATGTTTCATCTACTAAATCTTTTAAAGTAAGAGAAGAATATAAGGTTAACTGATGTGACTTTAGTAATTGATAATTCCATATATATAATCATTTTCTTATGAAAGAACTAAAAGGTAAATTTCGTAATTCAATTTATCAATTCACCAAAGATATAACCATATTCGATACACAAAATCCTATCAATCTAACATCTTAACAATTAATATTTATTCTATTTATGTCATTTACATATTTCAACAAAATTAAAAATGGGAATAAATAAACTGTTATATATTTTGGATTTTTTATTATTCTCTCAATTAATACTAATAAAACTTCAGCAATTCTAGGAAAAAATCATTTTATTGCATTCTTTAAATGATATAATTAATCATCCACAATAGAATAGTAAATATCCTCATATTGACATAACAGATAATACTTAAAATTTTAAAAGCATCATTTTTAAGAAGTTTATTCCAAGACATTCAATCTTGTAAAGTATTTTTCTCTTTTTCTATTTCTAGTTTAGTATTCTTATTTATTTTTATTACAAGTTTAAAAGTTTAATATGAAAATGATTTAGATTTAAATATGTTAGACTAATAATGTAAAGTAATTATTTAGGTAAATATAGCTGAAAAAGAATCATTAATAGATTTTCATTTCTCAATAAACCACACAGTTTAAGAATGTTAAAATATATCTAATCACTTAAGTAAAACTTATAAATTTCCTTCAATGTAGAAAAATGATTTTATCAATTAATTACTAGGGAGAACCATAGGAATATTGATATCTATTCAAAGCATTTTTTTAATTTTTCCTTCAATTAAAATTACAATATGCAGTGGAAAGAAATTAATTTGTAATTACTTCCAAGAACTTCTCCATAATCAAGTAGGATCATAATTTTGATAGAAACCTTAGATTAGGTATGAATTTCTTTAGTATTTTTGTTTACTGTATTTCAGAAGATTGAATATTAAGTAAATTTAAGTAGTAGGTGAAATTTAAAGCTTGAAGATTATAAAAGATATGGCTTCTCAGAAATCAAAAGGATAAGCATTCATAACTTATAATCATCCAGACTCCAACAAAAAAGCAAGTAAGAATTATAACTAAATTTTCATCAAGTCGGAGTCAAGAGTTAACATCTTTGTTGACAATTTACCAGAAAGTTCTTATGCGATAGAAGTATTTTTTTTCAAATATTGATTTGAATAAGTAAAATGTATGGATTATAAAAGAAAATAATTAAAGGTGATTATGTTAAAAAATGAGTCATGGCTATGTTCAATTTGAGAATACAGAAGAAGCTGATAATTTGATGAAGTGAATTATGATATACCCAATCAATCACATTAGGAAATAGCTGAAATTAAAATAATTCAAAGTCTATACTTAGTAAAAGTTGAATCCAATTTGAGGAACTATGCCACACCTTTATAATAGAAGTATTTAGAATAAGAGAAATTAGTCAGAGTAATTAAATATTGGTGGTTTCTGATGATTAAAGATTTTTTATAAAAATCGGGTTTTAGTGAAGAATTGTATTGTAAAGGGACTAAATACAAGATAGCCTTTTACTAAAATCACATTCGAAACACCAGAAGTAGCAAAAATAAATTTGAATATTTGTGAGCAATACAAAATATATATGTATATATTTAAGTGCTCATCATACATTGGAATAAATCAATAAACATCGACCATCTGTCATTAATGATGCAAGTGAAACCTTATCTATTTCTGAAATTACTTAGGTATTAAAAGAAAAAGCTTAAGTTCATACTAGCACTCTCAAATGAAAAAAGGAAAATTTCTTTTACAATTAAAAGTAAGATCAATATTAGTTGAAAAAAATTAAGGATTATGTCACAAAAGAGTAAATCCAAAAATTTCTTATCCTGATTTGGAACATTTATTCGTCTAATATTAAGACTAAATCTAAGAATAGTATATTTGTTTATTTTATTTTTCATTATAATTTGATAAATTTATTATCAAATCTTTTCAAATGTTTTATATTTGATTTTCCTATTTTTTTTTGTACAAACTTATTAACATTGATGTTGATTACAATAATATATTGATTTATTTATTCGTTTTAAAGAATTAGTTTTGTTTTTTGATATCTTATATATTGAAACTATTGGTTTATTAAATAATTATTCTCAATTCATTAAATTAAACTCATGAATTATCTTTAATTAATACATTAATATCTATATATATTTATTTTATTCTAAATCACTTATATAGACAAAATTGTAGTTTGATAATTTTGATATTAATTAAGACTTTGTTATAACATATAATGTATTTTCTGATAAATTAAATTCAAAGTTTAATGTAGAATATAATTGAAGAGCATCATAAAGTCAATGTTATTAAAAATGAAAAGTTTTCTATAGAATATAGAAGTTAGAGATCAGAAGCGTTTAACAAATGTAAATGGGTCCAAAGATTAAATTAAATTTATGAGTTACACTTAAAAATACAAATGACTATGAATAAAAAATTAAATTACATCCAATAGCTTGTCTTGAATTTTAACGATTTTTGATATAAAATAATTTATCTAAGTTATTTCGATTTTGGATAGGTAAAAAATGAAATAATTATTTTAAGCAAAAACATGTAAATAAAATAAGTTCCTCGGACTTAAATATTACTAAAAATGAAATCATTATTTTAGAGGCAAATTAATTTTGTACTATCTGCATATGTTCAACATGAAGAATAATTACAATATTTATTCAATGCGTCTCATTTCAATTGCTGATTTTATATAATTAATTAAAACTTTTCAATTAATCATCAAAACACTTAAATTTACTATAATTTAATTTAATGCCCAACAAGTAATATCTCCATAAACAATTAATCACTATCTGAAGTACAACAATTTAGAAGTTCATAAATTTTGTAGGATTCCTTTCTCCATAATGATAAAGTTTCAGTTGGCATATATGTTATTTTGTATAGTTCCTAGCTTAATTTTATCATCTCCATTGATTCCCCTAAAAATTTCAACATAAGCTGGAAATGCAATTGATGATTACAAACACATAAACGATGTTAAAATCAAGAATTGCTGCATCTAATTTTGTCAATTATTTACCATAAATCATTATATATACATACTTATTATAACTGATTTCTCTCTTAAATCTAAATCCAAACATAATTCTAATAATCAATTTATTAATTAAAATTGTTTAATAATAATTATGGAGCTGCATCTATAAATATCATATAAAGAATTGATGATTTAATTGTTCATATAATTAGATTATATTTCTTAGGAGGAATAAATACATTTCTAAATTAATTTATAAATTTTTTTTTTATTATAACAATAAATAAAATTTATTTGAAAGTTAAGAATTATAAAGAATAGAAATTTATTGTTTTATAGAACATTAAAATTTAGATCATTTTAAATAGCACATTTTATTCCTACTTTTAATAATACAATATTAAATAAAGAAAATTATTATGAATCTCTATTTAAAGGTCTTTAAACCTTTTTAATATATATCTCCTTGATGATTAGTTTAAATCAATTTTATAAAAATAGATAATTTTGAAGAGTGTAGACCAAATAATAAAAAAGTACATTTATTATTTTGAATAAAAGAAATTAAAGATTATTTGTGTTTTATTTTCATATCTTTCAGGGTTGTATATTATTTCTGAAGGCTTGAATTAATTTTCGTTTTTTATTCAAGCTTCTAATACTGTAAGGTTAATTTAACTCTTAGACAAACCTATTAATACAATCTATTATATCAAAAGCTTATTTGTTATACAACTTATATAATATGATAGATCCCAATCCTATAATTTAGTATTAATAATTGGTTTTTAAATTAATGATTAATATCCTTTGGAATAAGATAATCACTATAAACGATATACTAAAAAAGAATTAAATTCTAAAGAAAAACATTAATTGATTAAAAAAAAGATTTTATGATAGATAACATCATTTATTTTGATTTAAATATTTTTAATATTATTACTATCATAAGTATTAAATATAAAATTTAAGTTGATAAAACGAACTAAAGATTGTTTTATATTGATAATTATATATTAAATTTAAATAGCAAAAGTAAGTTGTGTTAATTTAATCTAGTTAATTCTTTTGCAAATTCGATTGCCTTATGTATTTAATTATAAATACAAATAAACTGTAATAATTCTGTTATTACAATTTTCCACTAATCACACCTAAAGAAATTATTATATCTATTATTAAGGTTAAATTTTTTAATTCTAACTTTCAATTATCATATTTAACTTCTTAGATACATTTGAATTCTTCATCCATTTTACTCCATTCTCTTTTCATTTCCTCTCATAAACCAGCTTTTTTATCATTTTTATAATAGCCATTATGAATTACTTAATTTGAATAATTATATTTATCATCTAATTCAGTCCAAATTCCATTCTTTGTTCCATCACCTCCTTCATCATATATACCACCACCACTAAAGCCACTATATATAATATTTTTACATTTTTTAAAGTACTTCATAATCTTCTGTTTATGCTCAATATCCCATCTACCAGCTTTAGAACCGTATTTATATCGACCATTATAAGTTATTTAAGAACTGGGTTTAAATCTATTCGATATTTCCACCCAATTACCCAACTTTACTCCATAACTTCCAACTTCACCATAAAATCCAAAACCACTAAAACCCACAATTTATAATATTTTTTACTATATTTTATTATTAAAAAATATATCCTACAAACCAACAATTTTTCCATTTTTATAAATATAACTAAAAGTTGCCTTTGATCCATTCAGAAAAGCTTCGCTTAATTCTATCCATTTGCCTTCCTTTTAACCTTATTCATTGTATAATCCACCCCCACTAATTCATTTATTCATGAATTATACATCTATCTATTTTTAAAGACAGTAATCCATTTTCCACTTTTTTTATTATTTTTGTATTCTCCAAGTTCAAATGCCTAAAATTAGCTATATTTTAGAACTTAATAAATGCTTACCTACAATAATTTTTTATTATTTCTTTCCAAATACCCCTCAAAGTATAAAACTTTCAATATTTGCTATTAATTTTGTATCTATAATATCCACCAACTTTCTATAGTTTTTCACCTCTCCAAAATGTACTCCATTTCCAACTTTATTATTATTCTTTCCATAATTTCCTGTCCATTAAAGATATTAGATTTAATTTAAATTAGTAAATATTTGAGGCTTTATTAAATAATCCCTTAATTTCTCTCTATTTTTTTTTATTCGAATTACTTACATTCTAATTATTTATCCATCAATAATGTACTGAATTTTGTTTATAGAACAAGATATTTGGTACCATTTCTAAAACCATTTCTCTCTCTTCGTGTCCAAAATTGCACATTAATATTCTTAGTCTTCATTTTCCTGTTTATTACTGCAATATGGGGTCATGTTATAGATCACTATTTCATTTATTAAATCAAGTGCTTTACATTAGAGTTTTATTTCTTTACTTAACCACAGGCTACCGATTTGAACAAGCAATTCCCATTTTCTATTGTATTAAAATATAAAAAAAATGACTTTTTAAAGATATTATATTCTTGCTCATTCTTTATAATTTCTATTATGAAATAAGCATTGAAATGTACAAAAAATTAAGGAAAAAAAAAGAAAGTAAATTAGACATACCTTATTAATATTATTGCAGAAATTTTTCATCTGTAATAAAATCTTATAGATAAATAAATATTTTTCTATCCAATCTAAATTCCAACAAGAATAAAAATACTTTTATCGTTAATAACTGTACTATAATGGATTTCAGAAATTTATTTTTGATGAATAAAAAAATAATATTTGAATTACCTCCTATAAATAAGCTAAATTAGTTTTTCATATCATAATATTTTTTTTATTCTATCGAGGGTAATTTATAAATATAATGAAATTCAAGGAAGTGTGGAAGAATGATAATACAAAGTTGAGGAACATAATTAAGATGTTGAAGAAGAATTGGCGTTTAACTTATATTTTTAATTTTTTCACCAAATTGAATGATTATCAAGAATCAGATGGTAGCATAAAATTATTTTATCTCTAATTTGCATTTCCCTCAACTCATTTATTTTGGATTTAAGGATTGAAAATGAAGTATTAAGAATTAAAATTAAAGAACTTGAGTGCTTAAGTAAAAATAAATTTTATTCAACTATGTATAGAAACTTATAATGAATATAATTTTAAGGAGAAACATGAAGAGTTGGATACATGTTAAAAGTCAGATTAAATTTTACAAAATTAAATTATATACTAAATTTATTATAAATCTATATCTACATTTGATTTGCTTAAACTTTTAACTTTTTTACCTTCATTATTGAAGAAAGATAAGAATAAAATACTAATAATTTCAAATAAAGACTTAATAAAAAAGATTATATTTCTACGAATTATATTTGGAAGTTCTTATCATATAAATTAATCTGGTGACTGATCAATCTAAATTTTAATTCTTCCTCTCAATCCATTTTATTCTATTGTTATGTTGAATGTTATCGAAGTTCTTGATAATCATCTTAATTTCCATTCGCATTTATACAGAATTAGTAAAATTTTTCATTATGATCCATTTAAATCATTTTATTAAATTGTTAAATAAATTCTTCTAAACTTTTCCAGTTGTTTTTATTATCACTGTTGCACTCATACTTCAATCTATGACTGAGTACATTCCTAAATCTTAGAAGTGAAGTAGGCTTATCTAAGAAATATAATTAATTGATAGAGTAATATTGAATTTGATGTATAATATTAATTTTTTTTATCAACTATGATTTTTAGGTTAATTTTTACATAAACTTTTTTATCCTCAATTATTGATCTTCATATATAATCCAATATTTACTCTTATTAGCAGAAATTCAGAAATTCAGAAATTCTTTCTATGTTCATTAATATTTTATAATATTAAGGTTCCAGATTCTAATAAACAGTTTGATATCATGCTTGGGAACCAGCCTCAGCAAAGAATTATTCATTTATACTGACTCTGGGGGCTTCGTAACCAAATAATCTAAGATTTCATTATAAATTCCTTAATCTTAGTCCTATATTAAAAAATGAAAAATAATAAGAAGTCAGATATAATATTATATTGACTACAACATTTACAACAAAAAATTAAGATTAAAAAAAAATATTTCTAAAATTAATTAACTTATTGAGTATATAATATGATAAATAAAAATACCTGAAGTAATCATAAAATAATAATCGGTTTCAAAAAGTATTTCTAATTAACATCATTTTTTATACATATACTAATTTAGTTCGTATTATTTTTGATAATTATTGCATTATATATGAGCTGTTTTATAAACTAATGAATCATTTCATAATTGCCCTTAGCATTTATGTAATATAGAAATTAATCATAATACAAACTTTTAAGAAAACTTGTATGTTTTTGTTAATTAATTTTTTTTTTTAATTTAAAAATACTAATATTTTTTCTATGTGAAAACTAATTCCCATCCCAATAAAATTAATTATATAATTAAATGTTTAAACCATAAATGATAGAAAATGAAAAAGATTTTTATTGTTATAATAATCATGAATAAGCAGCTCATATGGTTGTGCTTGATCCAAAGCTAGATAAGAAAAAAAGACTTTTATGCACTCAATGCATCGAACACTTCAAATCAGATGGAAAGACTATAGGTCTTAAAGAAATAATCTAGATTATTGAAAACATTATAGAGAAAAGGTTGAGCAATTAAGAAAAGATTACTTAGTCAACAGTTTAATAACTAAAAATTTGTACAAGAAGTATATAAGAATTAAAGGCATAATTTATGAAATTATTTGACTTTCTAATTAATATAGCAGAAGATTGGACCCAAAATTTATTGGCCTAAATATAATAATCAAAATTATACAGTTTTTATGATGAATTAGATAGCTTTATAAAAAGCTAGAATGATATTAATAATTCTAATATAACATTCATTAATAATATTAATAAATATTGGATGACTAAACTTTATGAGAACTTAGATTAATATATTAAAAATAAAGATAAAGTTAACTTTAAAGAAATAAAATAATAATTTAATAAAATCATTTGTTCAAATTAGTCACAAAAAAGTGAAATACAATTATAGTTAATCGATTAATCTGTTAAATAAAGATAGAGATGTTAAGCAATTGTTTTTGATCCTTCTGGGTCTATTATGGTCTCAACTTAATAGAGTGATATTATAGTATGGAGCTTTCTAAATGGAACAATTACATCAATACAAACATTGTAAGGACATACTGATTGGATTTAATGTTTAGTTTAAAGCAGGAAATAGAACTCCTTTGTTTCAGGTGCAATGGACTCTAAAATAAGATGCTGGAAGTAATATGACTCTACTAATTGGATTAGTTCATAGCCTTATTAATAACATAAAGATTGTGTAAGATGTATTATATTGAATTCAAATGAGGATTTACTATTTTCTGGAAGTAATGATAAATCAATTAAATTATGGAAGGTTGATTTTAATCAAAACATATTGACATACATGTATTCATTAGATAAACATGATAATTCTGTTATTGCATTAAGTTTAAATTAATCAGAAACATAATTAGTATCATGTGCAAAAGATAAGAATTAAATTATTATTTGGGAAAGAAGAGAATAAAATAAGTATAAATTCAAATATTTTGTTAAATAATCAATTTAAGACTAAGGGAAAAAGGTTCTGTTCATTAAAGATTATTAATTTATTTGGATAACTGGTGGTGAATAAATAGATAAATTTTATGTATTTGAATTGAAACAAGGAATCTTTCAAGAAAATTAGGAAAAGACTATTCAATTTATTACAAATAATTAGATTGTTGATGAATATCATTTTCCAATGATCTATAATAAAGAGAGGAATTTCATAATAGTAAGACATAAAACATATATTTATATCATTAGAGAAATGAAGGATGGGAAGTTCAAAATAGTTGATTAATTAAATTGTGAGACATATGATATTTATGGGACGATTACAAATAATGGATAATATTTGGTATTTTGGGATGGAAAAAATGAAGGATATTCAACATATGAATTATGAAATAAATGAATATTTATATTATGTTTTAATTATAATTATTTTTGTATTTTTTAAGGCATCAAAATTAGAATATTGTGAATAGTTTTCAATATAAAATAAATAAAATAGGAAGAGTATTAAATTTGTAGCAACCTCTAAAAATGAAGACGATTAGAATTTTAGAAAACTATTTTTGTTTTCATTTTCTTTAGCATTTTTAGATAAATCAGCAGATTTGGAATAATTGAATTTAAAATAAGAATAAATTATATCATCAATTCCAAACGCAGCTTAAATGAGTAATAATATTCTAAAATTAATGAATCCACCTGTAAATTATTTTTGATGTTTTGAATCAATTTCCCATAATTTAAATACATATTAAATCTAAATTATAAAAATTTTAATGAGTACACTAGTCTCGAAGTAAGGGTAAAAATAAAGAATAGATATTTTACTTAGCAACAAACTATAAAAATTATTATTTATTAATTTTTCTGTTCTTCTATTATTATTTACAGTTGTAGGATTGATACATTTAGGATCAATTGAATTATTCAAAACTCTGCGTTTGTTTGTTCCATTTTAAAATAAAAATATCAATTTACTTCTATCGTATGTAAATTTGGAATAGATATGAAACATATCCTTTTTGGTCTCTAGTTTTTCTAATCGGCAATTTAAACTATAAGTTTGAAATTTCATTAAATTTGTAGATCTCTTAATAAAACATGAATTTCTTAAATAAATTAGGTATATAAACAATACTGCTCAACCAAAAGAAAAAGACATTAGCAAAAAGAAAATTAAGAAATAATCATAATATAAAAAGCTGAAAGTATTTTAGATAAATTTAATAGATCTGAATCGATAAGTTCAAGGATAAATTAGAAAAAAATAGAAGAAAAGTTAAACTAAAAAGTATAATTTAATTCAAAAATTTAACAATTAATTAAACTGAAAATAGTAAAATCAGTAGGATGAAAAAGAGAAATCATAAAATTTAGAAAATAGAATATATAAATAAATATTACTAGTGGTAAAAAGGGAATATAGTTCTAAAAAAAATTCCTATATTAATCAGGACAAGTGAGAAGAGGGAAAGTAATATAATTCAAAGTTAGTTAAGAATAGAAGAAGTAATTTAAAAATTTGATACTAAATTTTATTTTTTTGTTTCAAAACTCCTTAAAATTCCAAATATTCAATAGATTAGATAAATTCATTTTGTTTAACTTTATTAATCCAATCCTCATAAGATACCTTTTATTTGTTCGTAGTATATCTTTATCTCCTTCCTACTCCGCATTCAAGTACTTTATGGGCCTTAAATTGACATAAGTCATCGAGGATGTGATATAAATTCCTTATTTTTATTATTTACTTTTATTTTTGAATGCAGGGTAAAATTAACAAAGTTTTATTTAAGATCCATTAGATAATTTCGTTCCTGATTCTCATGGAGATGGTTTACCTAGCTTCAGATTAGTTGATGTCTTCTAAATAAAAAATAATTACACAACAATGAAAAAAATATTTATATTTTTGCGTATTTATAACATGAGGGTAATAAATTGATGCTTTAACCAAACTTATATTATTATTATAACAAAAAACAAGCATTAGGATAATAAGAACACTTAAGAGAAAATCGATGGAATATTTGCAATAATAGAATCAACTAATTTTTAATTCTAACATTTTTTTTGTTTAGTTCTTAAATTCAAAAACAAGTAACTACTTTGAAAATGTTGAAATAATCATATACCATTTTTAAAAATTCCTTCTGATAATATTTTAAGTGTAATTCGATTCAAAATATAAATTAATTTTTGGTGATTAATTCTTGAATATTATTTATTTTTAATAAATTAATAAGAATTGATTATAATTTTAGTACTACTATTATTACGCAAGTGTTCATTTAAAGATCAAAAATAGCAATAAATTTGAAATTATTTCATTTATTTAATGTAGTCTCAGCATAACTATTTAATTCATGAGTTAAGAAATAAGATATTACATTAAAGGAAGTAATACTATAAATATGTTTCTATCAATCATCAAAATTTAAGTCTATGAATCTTGTTTATCTTATGTTTGTATAATAATAATTTATTCTTTAATATTTATTTAAGCTTTTATGGAAATAAAATTTGATTTTCTTTTGACAAAGAGCTAATTATGATTAGATCTTCTTAATTTAGAATCACAAATTTTATGTGAAATTATTTGCAAATATTTTTTGTTAATTTTTATAAATTTTTAAATATAATCAAATTTTATAAATAATTATTTAATAGATAGTAAGACTAAAAAAATAAAAAAGGTTAAGGAACCTGTAAATTGTGTAATTGACTTTATTTACGTTTTCTAGTCAATGCTTTTATGAAAATTAATAACTTTAAAAGGAATGAAGGATATATTAAAATTTTGAATATATCATCTTGTGTTAAAGTAAATTTATTGAATGGCTCCATAATTATAAGGAGAATGTTTTGTTAGACAAACGAATTTGCAAAACAATTAAAAAATATTGTGAATCATATAATATTAAGAAGTTAAATTGATTACATAGGGAATGAGACTATGGAAATATTCAACATGTCTTGAAGGCTAGTTTAATTAAAATGAATTTAAGTGAGTATGTATGATGAGATTAAAAAATAGTTTACTTAAACTATGTGTTTAGGAATTATATAAAAAATATAAAGACTAGATTCAATTAAATATTTATTGAGATGATATTAGAAATATAAATTATTTTTTGGACTTTCGATTCAAAGTAACATTCAAGGTGTTCGCATGTTTTAAATTATGATATATGTTTGAATCAATGAATTAAATTGTTGGATTATCATTTTTGGAAATTCTATCAAGAATTATGACGTATTATTAATTTATATGAAAGGAGAAAATATCTTTTTTTTCTATTATATGAATAATTAATTAATTGCATCTTGCAAAACAGAAACCATTGAAAAACAAATCAATGTGGTTATTGATAACATCGAAAGCTATTCTTATTATTTTAATGATGAAGATATTGAAAATGATCTGAAAGGATTGCTAGAATAATTAGATAATGAAAAAAGAATAGAAATAATCTAAAACTTACATAAAAAGTTCCCTGAAGAGACATTTCTAAACTTGCCTTATTTTCAATCAATATCTACCAATGATAATAAGAGTTAAGCTTAGATATTTGAAGATCATTGTTTAAAGTACTAAGAGAATTTAAGGGAAAAAAAATTTGATAAAATACTCGAAGAATTAAAAAATGAGCAATATTGCAAAAGTAATTAGATACCTATTTCAATAAAAAATTATCTTATACCTATCTAAAAGTTAGAAAAGGATCAACATCTAATTTTTGAACTAATAGAAGTAGTTAAATAAAAGGAATAACCAAAGTTTTTATCTTTTTTAAAATTGCTTATTAACTTGTTCTTTATTGAATGCGGTCATGAAATAAAAGGATTAATTCATTAATTTGTAGGTTCTCTTTTAGAAAAATAAATATATAAATTTGAATATTATATTAGTTAAGTGATTTAAAAAGCATAAATAGAAAACTGTTTTAAAGATTGTATTTTTAAAGTCTAAACTTAACAAATAAAAGCTCAATCAGGCAAAGATAATTTATTCTTAAATTGTAAAGATAAATAGATGCTTTTTTTATTTGAATTATTTACTCTCAAACTTGGATCTCATTCTGATAATTTACTAGGGTTTATGAAAAATCTAATTTGCGTGAAGAATAAAAAAATAAATAAGGAGGATTTGATTTCATATCTTACTTTAACAGAAAATTTTAATGAAGATTTAGATTAACTGTTTTTTAAGTTAGTGTTCTATTTTTGGATTTAATTTATTGAATTATTTAAACTCAAAGAAAACATTTAGCTTTTAGAAAATAAATTAGAAAAATCTTAATAGAAGAAAATGGTATTAGAAAAAGGTATTAAACATTTTAATTCTAATGAAAAAAACATGATCTATAGATATCTTATACAAAAAATAATTTATTATAGCAATCTTGAGGATTAAGATTTTAGAGAAGGCTAAAATTAATACGAAGCTGAAGAGAAAGAATTTATTAAAAAATTCAGTTAATTGAACTTCTCAACTGTTGAAAAAATAGATGAAGTTGAAGAAATTTCAAAATAACTTATGTTTTACCAAATTCAATCTCTAGAAATTCAAAAATAATAATAAGATTAAAAAAAAGACATATCCATCTTAAAATTTTTAGCTACAAATGATTCAAATAAGAATTTAACAACATTTTTAATATAAAATATTAACACAAACTTTAAAAATAGTAATGATTAATAATTTAATAGTTTTTCTAAAGAATAAAAGATTAATCTTCTTCATTTAGAGTAGTTTCTAAAAAATGGAACTAAAATCAAAATGTCTAGATTTTTTAATTAAAATTTAATTTTTAATCAATACCCTAAATAATTGTTAATTAAAATGGAAGAATTTAATATATCATTAACATCAAAAAACTAAATAAATCAAATTGTTGATTAGTGGTTAAAAGATAAAACTAATAAAGAAAATTTTAAGAAATTGCTTCCATTCTATTTTAATATTATTAAAAGGGGGGAATCATCTGAAGAATTATTAAGTTTAATTAACAAGAATGTTATTTAAGAAAATGTAAGTGAAACTTTAAACTTAAAATCTCTATTTTAATTACTTTATAACAATTCAGATAAAGAGCTTTAAATGATGCTTTTAAAGATACACTCCAAAAATCATCCTGTCCCTTTGCTTTATTTAAATCCTCAATTAGAAAAGAATAAAACTTCAATAAAAGACTTTTATGTTTTAAATGCAAATATCATATACCTTTTATCAAATGATTTTCCAATTATCAACTTTTCTTTAAGCTAAAATGTAAATCAATTTGGCAAATCTGAGTTAATTAATATGTTATTTTATATTGAATAGAAAGATACAAAATTTGAAACTTCTGATACTTCTTCAATTAACAATAATTCAGTAGATTG